GTCTTTGCTTTAAACTGTCACATCCATCTTCTAGGATCGATGAAGAAACGGTCACTATGCAGCTTAATGGATGCATCTCCATTACTTGAGTATTACGTGGGCATTGTGTACCGTTATGTGATGTATTATATCGAAATAAAAAATGATTATAAAAATTGTTTACAGATTAAATGACAGGCCAAATTTATATAAATTGAAATATTCGTGATTGAAGAGTGGCACTTATTCTGTGTTGCTTTGTAAATAATTTTCTTTCATGAAACATTCAAAATTTATAGAGCGATTTTATGCGTTTCTCTATTAATATGTACATGAATTAATTATACACCGTAACACTTCCTCCCATAAATTATTCTATTTGTATTTCGTCGAAGCTTCATTTGTTAAATCGATCTAGAGTATCGCATTAGTTTATACCGGACGTGAAAATTAATTAATAGTCACATTATTACCATATTACGGTGATTAAATTGTGCAATGAAATTGAATGATTCGTAGCATCGCAATCCTAATTAATGTTGCTTCAGCAGTTCTATTGCCGATAGAGCTTCCGCGTGATCTCTGATTAAAACTTTTGTACATGATATAATAGTGGTATTAAAGCGCATATCAGATTTTATGCATTTTTTTTCTATTCTCATGTATGAAAAAGGAATTGCATATTCAATGAAAAATATATTACTTTTATGAGATATATACAAATGAATTATATTGAAATTTATTGAAATTTTATATAAATAAATCATAATATTTAATATTAAATATTTTATTTAACTCTTTTTTTTTAACGAAAGAGACGAATTTCTGACCAGACGAAATTAAAAAGAAGTAAAATTAAGATTGCCCTCGAAGGGTGCCTGTTGGAAAAAGTTAAGTACAAACGGCAGATTCTTTTTCTCCGTGAATGATAGACTGTGAATCTTAATGCAATGCAAATCCAGGCGTTTCGCGGGAAAAAGTTTCGATGCAGTGGTGCTATAAATCAGGAACCCGCCTGAGATTCAATTTAGTGACGTTGGCGCACAGCATAGTTTCTGCAGTTAATTAATCTTCATAATCTTATGACGGGGCCACGATCTCGGGACATTCTTCGCCAGATCTCAATTTGGAATAGGCAAAATATGCAATTCCTTTAAAGAAACTATCATTGCTCAATTTTGTCGAATAATCTGTCGAATAATTATAATTGATGAATAGTCGAAAAGATTGAGGTGGCAGAAAGTCAAATTAAATTAACATGTAGGTTTAAATAATAATGTTAAAATAAATTCCATATTGAAGTTCTTATGGAGATAATAGAAAGCTCTAAAATTAAAAAAATATGTGTATCTCTATATATTTGTTGTAAAAAATTTAATAATAGGTTTAAAAAATAGTTTATTTGTTGCAATTAATTTCGTTATATCTTTATATATTTCAATTTTTTTAGTAATATAT